GCTTTATACAATTGATGTGTGTATGGATTGGGATAACAGTTGTATGAGCCCCTAATAAAATGTTTTTAAAAAAAATTAATAAATGCTTCTAGTCCTCCCCCTTTCAGAAGGCGAAACTGTGTCACTTGCATGTCACAGGTTGTTAATAATCCTTCCACCCATCCTGAAGTCACCTTTGTCTTCATACAGTTCAGCTTCTCTGACGATTTGCTCAGCATACAGGTTGAATAAGTATGGTGCAATGATACAACCCTGATGCACACCTTTCCTGATTTTGAATTATGCAGTATTCCCTTCTTCTGTTGGCACCTGATTTCTTGATCCCATGAAAGGTTCCACATGGGCACAAGTAAGTGTTCTGGAATTCCCATTCTTGTAAAGGCTATCATAGTTTGCACAGTAGAACGCCTAGGCATTGTCAATAAAACAAAAGGAAATATCTTTCCAATATTATCTGCTTTCAGGCAAGTTCCATCTGATGTCAGCAATATATCACTCGGTCCCAGCCTAAATGCAGCCTGTATTTTTGGCAGCTCCTTGTTAATATATGGCTGCAATTGTTGTTAAATGATATTCAGTAAAAATTTTATTTGCATGTGCTATCAATGATATTGTTTTATAAGGTATGCATTCTGTTGGGTCATTGTTCTATGGAATTGGGAGAAATAGTGATCTCTTCTTTGGAACGGGTAGAAATATGGATTTCTTGGCCAGGTAACTGACTTCCAATTTTCTTGACCTAAGTGAGTGGTTGCAATGTTTCATCAGTTTGCTGAAATATTTTCATTGCATTCTGTCAATTCCTAGAGCCTTGATTTTGCTTAATGCCTTCAGAACAACTTGGTTCTAGTACCATTGGTTCTAGATGATATGCTACCTGAGAAGGTTGAATAGAGACTAGTTCTTTTTGGTACAGCAACTCGCTCATCTTTCCATCTTCTTTTGCTGCTTTCTGCATGATCCAATGTTTTGGCCACAGAATCTTTCAGTATGGCAACGCAAGGCTTGAATTTCCCCCCACAGTTCTTTCAGTTACAGATAGGTTCACAGTGGTCTCCATCTTTGGTTTTCTCACGCTAGGATTATGCAAATCTCATTATAATACTTTGTCTTCTTGAACTGCCCTGTGAAGGGTTCTGTTTAACATTACTTTATTGCTTCCATTTGCCTAAGTTGCTCTAATGGTTAAGAGTAGGTTTCAGTGTTTCCTGACATCCACTTTGATGCTTTATTTCTTTACTTCTTTGTGTGTGTCTTTTTTCTCCCAATAATTTTATTGGTACACAATTTACATAGCATCTAATTGAATAGTTCAATCGTTCAATTATATCAAGGGGAGTTGTACAGTCACCACCGCATCTATCTTAGAGCCTCCCAACCCCCGTGGTTATATCACCTTTAAACTGAGTTGTGCAATCACAAGTGGTTCTTGTGTTCCTTCCCACATTCATTATTCCCTCCAGAAATCCCTTTCCCCTCCGTATCACCCATCGCCCACCTGTGCATTCCCTGTAACACCTTGTCTCAGTTATTATCACTATACACCCACTCCTGTGCTTCACAGCTGGGAAACGGAAAACGATGAAAATCAGATCACACTAAGGTAGTAAGGATAAGATCATATTAGTATAAAGAGAAAAATGCAAATAGTGCATAAGACAGAAAAGACCTTCATTCAAAAAGCCAGGGAAGAAATTTCTGTCATGGAACAACTAAGCAATACTTGTACCCAGGACAAATTCAGATGGTGTGAATTTCCTTTTTAATGACCCTTTATTTCCTTTATGAATGAGGTTTTTCATGTCATCTCATCTCTAGGTCTTCCGAATTAAATATATCAAATGTGTCCTTGAACTGGTCTCAAAATTAGGTGGGATATACTCCAGCTTGCATATTGACTCTCGTGTATTTAATTTTCTACAATTTCAAAGGAGCAATTGGTGGTCAGTTCCATGGTTGGCTCCAGGTCTTGTTTTAGTTTCTGATATTGTGCTTCTCCATCATTTCATCGCCCCGACACAGTCGGTTGATTTATGAGCATTCCACCTGCAGGAGTCTATGTGCATAATCACTGTTTGGCTTGTTGAAAAAAAGATGTTGTCAATGAAGCAGTGACTGGTCTTACGAAATTCTGTCATGAAACCCCAGCTTGCTTCTATCACCAAGACCATATTTACCAACACCGTCTCTTCCTCTTCGATTCTAACGTCTGCGTTTCACTCACCACTAACTACGAATGCATCTCGAGTGCATGCTGGTTTTATTCCAGAAGGAACATGTTGATACATGTCATCAGTTTCCTCATCACTAGGTCTGGAAGTTGGTGCACACATTTGAATAACACTTGTGGTGACCACTCTCCTGTGTATGGACAGGTGTGTGGACAGGTATAGGATTTTCCCTTTGCTGACAGTGTTGTGCTTCAACAGATCTTGAACTGTCCTTTTTGAGGATGAATGCAACGACTTTTTCCTAAATCTGTCATTCCTCGCAAACGAAACCAGATAGTTGTCTGATTCCAACTGCCAGTCCATTGCAGCTCACTGATGCCTAGGATATTGATCTCTACGTGGTCTACTTTTGATGACTTCCAAATTTCTTAGATTCAACCTTTGTATATTTTAAGTTCCAATTATTAGTAAATGTTTACAACTAATTCTACTTATTTTAAGTTGTGCCCCATCAGCAAATGTAGTAGCTCAGTTTTTAACCCTTTGCATCACCTGGGGACCCCCCACAAAATAAAACCCACTGTTACGGAAGGGATTCCACTCATAGTGACCCCACTGGAAAGTGTAGATGAGCTCCCTGTGAGTTTCCGAAGCTGTCAATCTTGAGGGAGCATCCCACTCCAGGGAGCAGCTGGTGGCTTGGAACTGCTGATCAGGTGTGGTTGGCAGCTCAACAAGTAACCATTCTGGGTGGGAGGGGTGTGTGAGGGGTGGGGTGGGGTGGGGAGGGGCTATGCATTTTGAGTGACTGGGGAGGGAGAAGGGGCAGTACACTGCACTGTCCCCTTTCTAGGCGGTGTAGGAGAGGAGTCAGGGAGGAGAAGTCTGAACCAGACAGACAAACTGCATACCAGAGGCTCAGTCATAGCAAAGGTGTGGCTGGCAGACCCCAGAAGCTCTCTCTCTCTCCTGCCCTGTGTCAACCCCAACTCACCTGGTGTGCGTAGGCCCGGCCTATACCACCTGTGGCTCCTGTCACCACTGTAGAGAGAAGGAAACATGAGGCTTGAGGGACCCCAGGCTCAGGCTTCTCCAACAGCAGGGGGCCCTCTGCCTGGGCTGTAGCTCAGCTCGCCCCAGAGCCTTCCCCACCAGCACCCACGCCCACCTTGCCCCTCCTTATTCCTAGTCCCCCCCTCCCTCCTCTTCCCTGTTCTCCTACACAAGCTCCCAAATCCAAAACCCAAACCCTCTGCTCTGGCATCCTAGTGACATATTGGGTTACGACGTGGACCCTTAACCTGAAGATCGGCAGTTCAAACCCAGCAGCTGCTCTTCATCGGGAGAATGATGAGCTGTCTGCCCCCCCCCGCCCCCCTGCCCCCCACGTACCCCCAGAGAAACAGTTCTGCTCTGCCCCATAGAGTGACTGTGAGGCAGGAGCAACCCCTGGTGGTGAGTTTGGTTTGGATGGGTTCCTGGGGGGTTTAGTTCCATTCAGACCTTGCAATCCCAAGGGACACAGGAGAACTGCTCCCAAGGCTTTCCATGACTGGGAGCTTGGGCTGGTGTCGCTCTCCAGTAAGCACTGAATGGACAACCTCAACGTCAGTGGTTCAAACCCACCAGCTGCTCTGGCGAGGAAAGAGGAGGCTCTCTGCTCCTGGGAACATGTGCGGTCTCACAAACCCCGCATTCCGCTGCTGCTCCGACATGGACTGAGCTCAGTGCCTTAGGCCTGGTCTGGAGACTGGAAATCTTCACACAGGAGCTGGGGGCCGAGTGGATTGTTCGCAGCAAGGTCGGCAGTTTCAGCCCACTTACTCAGCGGGAGCAAGTGAGGCTGCCTGCTTCCCTAACGCTGCCCAGCTCAGAAACCTGAGGAGCACGTCTGCTCTGACCCGCAGGGTCTGTAAGAGGGGTCATCATCTGGCTGGCAGCGAGTGTGCGGGAATCTCGACAGAAACAGAGGCCACCTCTTTCCTCCCTGGAGCAGCAAGTGGGTCAAAACGCTTGATTCTCCTCAACTCACCTGCTCCACTCACCTGTGCAGGAGCAGGTTGGGAGAGAGGGGTTGGTGCCTCCTTGCCCAGGTCCTGCCAGCCTTCATGCCTCTTGCTTCATGGACCTCCCTCAACCCTTGCCCCCTTCCAGCTGTCCTAGTTGCTTCATCCCTACCTCTACTCCCCCAGTGCCAAACCCTCACCTACCTGCCCAGGCTCCCTGTGCCCGGATCCAAGAGTCACCCCGACAAGCCCAGGGCAGTAGGTAGACATAGACCAAGCGGCCCACTCCCCATGCCACCCTCAGCAGAAGCCATGCAGCGGTGAGAGCGCCCAGTGCACGGAGTGGGTCCCACATCGCAGCTGCTGTGGCCACCAGAGCCAAACTCTAAGTGGAAGCCTGTCCTACAGGGTGAGATTCCATTGGGGAAGTGATTTCCCTAGAAGTTCGTCTGATACCACCTCTAGGAAGCCCGCCTTCACAAGCCACGCCTTGTCTCGCTCCCACTCTGTTGTCACTGGACTCAGAGGCCAGACCCTGAGGGAACAAAGCCACATCACCATGGCTCAGGGCCAGGGCCAGAGGCGTTCACTCTGCAAAGCTCCCCTTGTCAGGACCACTGTACGCAACCTTGCTTTTCGTGGGGGCGGATTTGATAGGACCAATCATGGAAGGCTGGGAAAAGCAATTGGCTTCAGGTATTGACATCATTTGATAAATTTCTATTTACTCAGTAAACACTGTGACTCTCCCTCCACTATTCCAAGGGATTTGGAAGCCAGCTACCCTGCCCAATGAAGATATCCATGGCTGTGCCCATTCCAAAGAGGTCACACACAGGATTTGGAACCTCATCCGTATTGCTAATAGCCTCATATTCGTGTAAGCGTTTGATGAAGATCATTCACAACTTGTTGCAGCGGTTCGTGGAAAGGAAATTGCCAGAAATTCCAGCTGGATTCAGAAGAAGCCCTGGCCTGAGACCTCAGGCTGACATCAGGTGCATCTTGGCTGGCAGCCGAGAAAACCGGAAGGATGTTTCCTTGTTTTACCGACTCTGTAAAGGCAGTTGGCGGTGTGGGCTAGAGCAAACGATGGATAACATTGAGAACACTTCTCTGTGTTCATGAGTAAACTACATGAGACCAGAGGCAGTTCTCACACATCACCAGGTGGCGGCACGGTTTAAAATCTGGAACGATCTGGGTACACACCCTAAAGGATTTCAGAACACAACACGAACAGACAGTTGCACAGCAAGGTCTATTGTAACAATTCCTACAATAGCAAAAGGATGGAAACCGCTGAAACTCTGAGTATAGAGCGAGGGATGAACCAATGGCACATTCAGACAGAGAAATACTATGGTCAATACAAACCTGGATAACTCTCGTAAGCACCATGACACGGACAAAAGTAAAGAACATTATGTTTAGTAAACTTGGGGAATCTTAGATTCAATAAGTGTTTAATGAATGACACCATTATTATAAGGAAAAACAAAGAAAAGGAAAAGTCGTTTTCACACCAAAGGACAAGACTCTGAAGTCCCAAAGGAGGCCATTGGTGGAGAAGGGACAGGAAATGATGCATGGGGAGGAAGGGCGGGGGTGGGACAGAACCACAGGAGGCACTTGACAACACCACCACTTGGGTCAGGTGCATCTCAGCCTTCACAGACTCATCCTGTTCACCTGGTGGCGACCCTGCTGGTATTTGAAGTTCGGAGCACAAAGCTTCCAGCACACAGCAGCACACGGGCGCCGTAAGGAGACACATGGACATTCAAGTGGGGAGGGTCCTCTGTCCAGTGGGCTGCCCTGCGTTAGAAGCAAGTCTCTGGCACTGGGTTTGGTTTGGATTTTGCGTCTCTGTCTGAGATATTGTTTGGGCTAATACTCGAGGCAGGCAGTCCGGCAAACATGGCTGAATGTTCCCAAGACACACTCCCACTACCTATTTTTGCTTCTAGACGGATAAGTACACTTAAGTCTCAGAGAGCCCTACAAGGTGGGAGCCAAGGAGAGGTATGCTGTTGTTGTTCAGCTCTGAACCACAGCGACCTTATGCACAACACACTGAGACACGCAAGGTCCTGAGGCATCCTCACCACTGTTCCTCTGCTTCAGCTCACTGAAGCCAGGGGAACGACCCTTCTTGTTGAGGGCCTCTCTAGGTTCTTTCCCCTTCCCTCTACTTCATCACACATCACGTCCTTCTCCAGGGACAGGTCTCTCCTGACAACATGCCCAATAAATGTAACAGAAAGTCTGGCTATTCTTGCCTCTAAGGAGCACTCTGGCTGTACTTCTTCCAAGACAGATTGGTTTTCCTTCTTCGCAGTTAGACAGTCCTTGAATTTTTTAACTCGTGCAAACAGAAACGCAGGGAATATGTGTGAGAATGATTTTTAAGGGTGTGGAATGATGGTGCAAGGAACATAAGGCTTGGTCTGTCTACATTTATTGGTCTGGAACTTTAAGCACAGATTCTTCAGTCAATGTTTCATCTGGAGAGGTTAGGAAAGGACCTCATAGTTTATTTGGTTGGTTCACGGAATCATGGATTATGTGTTGACCCCCACCTCACACGAAATCAAGTTAAAGTACTAGACTTGCCCTGGTATACTCACTCTCACTGCTGTTGACTTGATTCTGACTCACAGAGACCCTATAAGACAAGGTAGAACTGCCCCTGTGGGTTTCCCAGACGGAAATTCTTTTAAAAAAAAAATCATTTTATTGGGAGCTCTTCCAGATATTGAAACGATCCATAATTCAATTACATCAAGCATACTTGTACAGTTGTTGCCACCATCCGTTTCAAAACAGGATCTTCTTGAACTCTTTGGTATGAGCTCCACTCGCTCCCCTACACCAACCCCCAGGAACCCATATTATTATATTACATATTATTATTATTATCCCCCCCCTTTTGCCATATCTTACACCATCCAATGTGTCCATTCGCCTACAATTCTGTTATTCGTCCCCCTTGAGTGGGGTTACACGAATCATTGCTATCAGTTCCCCCTTCCCTCACTTCCCCTCCTCTCCTCCTGTACCTTCAGGGAATCATTACTCCCATTACTGTTCCCAAAGGTTCATCTATCTTGGATTTCATACATCAAACGATCTTAATTATACAAATGAGCGCAAACAGATCTAATAATATTAATGAGGTAAAACTAACATCACAATAGTAAGGGGAGGAAATATTAAAGAACTAGAGGATAGTAGTTAGGTGTATGATCAATGCTATACTGTATCCTGGATATAACATCCCTTCCCTGTGGCGCTTCTGTGAGGGACTGTCCAATTACCTTACAGGTGGGTTTGGGGTATTCACTTTGTCTATGCTCCATCACATCAATTTGATTTCTTGTTTTTAAACTTCTGACACCTATTCCCATTGACACCTCATGGTCACACAGGCTGATATGCTTCTTCAATGTGAACTTTATTACTTCCCTGCTAGATGACCGCTTGTTTAACTTCAAGTCTTTAAGACCCCAGGTGCTGTATCTCTTAATAGTGGGGCATCAGCTTTCTTCACTACATTTGCTTATGCACCCTGTTTGTTTTCAGCAATCATATTAGGAAGGTGAGTATCATACATTGCCACATTATTAGAACAAAACCTTCTTGGACTGAGGCAAGATATAAGTAGAGGCTTAAAGTCCATCTGCTTCCTTCTGGTGTGTGTGTGTGTGTGTGTGTGTGTGTTCCTATCTTTGCATGTTTATATATTCACATGTATACATATCTATATTTGTATCTCTCTACATAAATTTGCCTTTCTTGTTCTTTCCTCTTATTCTTTTTACTTTCCTTCTGCCCCGCTATCATGTTTACCCACCGTTCACCTCTCAGTAATTTCTCTCAGATACATTTCACTTGATCAAACATGACCAGGAATGCTACACTCTGTTCACCATCAATTTTAGATCCCTGGCTATTCCCCTGTCCCTGTCGTTATTGGCTCACCAATACCCTCCCCTGCTGCCTCCTCTCCCATGCCCCCGCCTGTCCCCCGAACTGTTGGTCCAATTGTCCTCTTCTTGAGATTGTTTGTCCTCCTTTCTTATAGAGATAGACCCCCAAAGAAAAAGACAAGAAAAAGGAGAAAGAGACCATACAAATTGTTCCAAGTCTAACTATCGTCCTGACCCAGGGTAGATGTGTATCTCTCTGTTAAGTAGCGAGCAGGCCCTGTCATAATCCATCAGTTCGATCCTCCTTTCCTTCAGGGATCCGGATCCCAGACTCACTTACCTAACAGAGCTTATACCCTTTTCGTCCTCAGCATTTGTGACCCAGGGGTGTGCCTTCCCCAAGACCCCATGGCTCTTCCTGCGGTCAGGGATGAAGGCGGTCTAGTGCTCCCCACTGTCCATCTTGCTACACCCTTAGACTTTCAGTGTGGCCCCTTGTCAGTATCCCCCAGCCAGATCAGATGAGGTGTAAAGCACTGACCCCCGGAATCAGAAGTCTCCAATCGGGATTCCTCAGGGACTTCGTGGCTCTGCCCCCATTGCTGGTCATTGCACGCCTCTCTGGGTTTGCCCCGTGGGGGTGGGTCAGACTTGCCACACTCTCTGAACTGTATCTTCAGTGCTGTCCTCTGTAGGGCTGCCATGTAGGGAGGGAATGTCAAGTCTTGAGCTGAGGCTGAGTCTGCAGTCCTCTGTGTGAATGAGCTGCCCTGAGCAGGAACATCGCCCTCAAGGCTTGGTGCGCCAGAAGGGAGTCTCCTCTCTCTCTCCCTTTCCTGTGGAGACATAAACAATAGGGTGGATTAGTGCTTTGTTCTCCCTATTGCTGTCTTTTTCTTTCCCTACCCCTCTGTGGGCCTTAAAGACATATGGGGGCGAGGGGAGGAGGGGGAGGGGGGGTGTCTTTTAGCACAGGTGCTGTCTGCATCTTTTGTATGTTTCTTTCTTTTCTTTTTTGGATGACATATGCATCATTGGGTTTGCTTTGGCTCTTGCCAGGGTCTCTGGTCCTCAGCCCAGGAACTGTATGATATGTACATTTCCCCCTAGGCCCGTTCTGCTATGTGAACTTACCTCAGTGGGCTCCTGTTGTACTTGTCCTTTGAGCTTGACAAACTTCACTCAGCATAATATCCTCCAGCTCTTTCCATGATAGGAGGTGCTTCATCTTTTCATCCCTGGTTTTTGGTAATGCATAGTACTCCATTGTGTGTATATACCAGAGCTTTTCTTTAACCGAGTCATCTCTCTCTTATTTTTTTAAATTATTTTATTGGAGGCGTGTACAATTCTCATCACAATCCACACATCCATCCATTGTGTCAAGCACATATGCACATTTGTTGCCCTCATCATTCTCAAA